GCTAGCGGACAGATTAGCAAGCAGTATGATGTTGTCAGTAAGCAATATGATGAATTGAGGACCCGAGTTGATCTAATGAAAAATCAGAAACTAGTAGAAAGTAAGAATAATTGTGAAGAACTTCAATGTATGGGGATTAATAACCGCCAATCGGATTCTAGGATTGAAAAGACCCTCTCAAGCTCAGACATTATGATTACTCATGTTAATGAACCGATAAGTAATGAAGTTTCATGTAATGGTTCTAATCCTCACAATGACGTCAATAGTCAGGAGAAAGTGTGGAGTGGCAACCCTGGAGAATTTGTCAGAGGGATCCTTAGTCACCCCGCAGAACTCACATTACCAATATTCGAAAACAAACCGGACCAATACGCCCAGGCACATTTGAATTCCTTAGGCGAATACATACAAATTAAGAAAATTCCTCCACCGCTTCAGTTAGCTGTAGCGCGGCAATCTTTAAAAGGCATTTCAGTCATGACGTGGGCTGATGCTAATTGGGATCAAATTAAAACGTTTGAGGGATTCCGCAGAGCTTTCCTGGACAAATTCTGGAGCCTCTCAGGTCAGGCAAGGGTTCGACTCCGGATCTATCAGGATAGATACGACCCGCGAGGCGCAGCGAACTACTGTGACCATCTTATGAAGTACGCTGTGAAAGCTAAATACCTAGAACCTCCGATGTCCAACCTAGAATTCTTGAATGCCCTCAAAGAACATTATCCCCTCGGGGTAAAGAAGGCCTGGGTAGTAGCAAAACCTCAAACTCTTCAGGAGGCGGCGGCATTCCTTTCTGACGTCGCAGACCTCGAAAACGATCAAGTGGATTTCGAACCAAGGGGACGGAATAATGCGCCTATCCTAAAAAACCCCATTCCATACCTCTGACAAATTCACATGGTGCTGGGTGATGGATTGAAGTCATTATAAGATAATAACTGTTATGATAGGTATAAGGAATAAACATGATCTGTTGTTATAATGTTAAGAGTGGAGCGTCCCCATGAAGAATGGATGATGATTGGAGGTATGAATGTATGATGAGGAGGGGAAAGGTGAAATCCCCGTAGTGCTTGTGGTTACTCATTTAATCGCAGTATGGTAGCTCTAATAATATCTGTTGAGAACATCAGTGATTTGAGATCAGTTCAGTATAGGGAAGCTAAGTTTATCATCAGATAAGGGAACAGAGTTCTATCCATATCCTAAAAGTGTATCGTCGGAAGAAGAAAATTACGGAAGATAATATTAAAATAGTATCATCGAGCGAGTGAGTGGAGAGAGATAAAAGAGTGGAAGGAAGAAGGGAGAGAGATGTTCTAAAAGTGAAATCATCGAAACAAGGATGTGAGTGGTGATAAACAAGTGGCCTGAGAGGCGTAAGGAAGATGTGCTGAAAATGACGTCGCCGAAAATTGAGTGTAAAGTTAAATGTAGATGTGGCCATTGGCCCTACTGAGGAAATAATAGTTGGTTAGAATTATCAGAAGGCAGGTACGGATAGGAGCATAAGTGAGCTATTGTGATGTAAGCGGAGAGATTCCCGAAGCAAAGACTGTCAATCACTGAGCGTCGAGGCTACCGACCTGATGTAACTGGAGTAATCCTAGGAGAATGATAGGATTATAAGGATTTTCATCTTAGCATGTAAAATTTTATTTGTAACGTGGGGACAGTCCATTATATATGTAAGAAGTCTTGTATTGTTTGAATTTAACTTAAGTGTAATTTAGTACGTGAAGGGCGTACGTGAGAGTGTCATCAAATCAGAGAAACTTCGCTCATCACGTTTCGGAAGTTACCTGATTTGACGGGGGAGTTTGTAACCGTACGCACCCTTCACGGAGGTATCTTATCTGTTTATGCTTAGCGATTGGGTTTGGCTGTGGCAGTGAGATGCCCCGGAGGGTTCATGGTCCTCTGAACTGTCCTTTTGTTGCGAGGGACTGAAGGGAGGTTGGTGAGTCCATTGCATTCAAAGAGGGAGTAGGTATACCTTCTTTCGTCTGTGCCTGTGGGGGTGGAGGACCTGTGGATCGAAGCTTCGAGAAACTTCTAGAAGGTGTGCAGACCGGAAGGGGTCCGTGTATTTGGTCATGAAAACCTCCCAGTGGAAAGTTCGAGATGGCTAAGAACGTGGTTTCTGGAAGCAGCAGCGGGGGTAAGGAGGCAGTCAGTGAGTGGAAGCCGAGGGGTCAGGGAGTAGAGGCCAGGGAGTGAGGGTGTTCATGTGGAACCTGTGCTAGGGGGTTAACCGATCGAGACCGCATCCAAAAAAAAAAAACGACGTAAGCGAGCCAACACCCGTGTACCCCTGGGATATGAGACTCATTCCGCTGAATTTAGTCGAGGCATACACCGCGTGAAGTGAAGCGTGTGGCGACGGGTGTAACACTGAGGGAAAAATGAAGTAAAATTTAAAATGAAATTTTCAGAGAAGTAGATGGAATTCAAAATTTTGTAAGAGTCAGAAAGATCAGGATAGGGACTAGTGTAGGGCTCTTGTGAACATGGTGATGAACATTCGGGTTCCATAAAATGCTGCGAAATGCTTGAGTAGCTGCACAATTGGCGGCTCCTCAAGAAGGGCTCAACTCCATGAATGAGTGAGTAAGTACGTAAGTTGGAAGAGAAATCATTATAATGGTTTGACCATGAGATCAATGACCAGAGAAATGAATTAGAGTTTTAATTCAGAGGGAAGAGACTTATGAGATCACTGAAAAGACAATTCAACTAAGTGCTGGAAGACCTCAAAACTGAGGAAAGGGCTGGATAGAAATTGAAAAGGAAGGATTATGGGAAGGTAGAAGGGATTGGAGACTGTCCACTGACCCATATAAAATGGAAATGGTAGAAAAAGGAAAATAAGAAGAAGTCAGATATGACAGACCTGTGTGGTGAATCTCTAAATGTCTATGACAACTTATTCATGGTACTGTAATTATAGCAGACATCATCGATTTTCTGAGGTGTATTTCCTGTACACGACATTTCAAAATTTGACTCTGTTCCCATCTTCAGATTTAACTTATTCATTACACGTTGGCAAAAAATGATGACAGGAACATCTGACCTTTCCACCATAGTCCGTTCTCAAAGAAGACTCATGAGCACAACTCTGATGTGAATTTATGTACGTGTGCGAAACACTCGCCAGCACAACTGTGACGTGACCTTAAGTCTCATGTGCTTGCATAATCTGATGGGAGAAGTGTTCAACTCCTCCAGCTAGGCCAGTACTTATAAAAAAAAACATGCTCAGAGCTCGACATAGGACAGAACAGCAAAACTCGACTTACTACAGGGATAACATGAGTCACTCCATCTCCACTGTCGACAACTATTCCTGTGAGAGTGCGTTCACTCACTGATCGAGATGCCCAAGAAGCAGCCAAAGCCAGAACTGCCTGCACAGCAATATACAGACCAGGAACATTGAATGACTCAAACATTATTTCTGAAACAAAACAGGTGTAGCTTGTATAAACCTTTATCAGTAAATGTTGGTTATTTAATGATGCTTTTAGTATCAAGGATGTACAGCATCAGACGATAGGATAATGAACGGAAAGGATGTGGTAGGAAGCAGAGGTAATTAATTGCCTGGAGGGACTGAGGAAAACCAGGGAGAACCACAAACGGGATAGCCAGTGACTTGGTCGAGATTCAAACCGAGCGTCTCCCAAATAAAAGCCTAGAGCGTTACCTCTAGACCAACGTGTTTGGTGTGAGCAAATGCAAATACATTTTTACTTAAGTTTGTATACATGAAAAGCATCACAAATATCTTTTGGATTTTGCTCTTCTGGATTGGATATCGTGTAGTCTTCGTGATGGATGCCATTTCAGATGGACATGTTGCCTCCATCTCTAGTGTGAAAGTGTTGGGTATCCAGCCCCATGACTACACAACGTCAGAAACCAGAAGGCCACAGTGTGAACACTCACTACTGCGAAAACCTGAAAATGCAAGCTCCTGCTTTGAAAAGCATGTCTGCCACCCTGAAAACTGAAAAAGCACATATGTGAATTATAATAAATCTGACTGTACACATCAACCATCCGCTGGTATGAGTACTGGCTGGAAAACACCATAAAATCTTCAATCACAAATATCTGTCAGGAATAAACACTCATGCTTATCCCAAAGTTTTCAAATTTACAAAGCAGATATATTCTAACCTGCAGTGTATTCACGGTTCTCTGGGGTGTTGAGAGGTGGTTCTGTAAGCAAGAAATAGTGATCTTCTGGTTCTGCACGAAGATACTTGAAGATACATTGCTCGAGAAACCGTTCCATGAGGTCCCAGTCTTCAACCAAACCATGTCGCACAGGATACTGGAAAAGAAATGACCAGAAGATATAACTGTCTATTAAAAACAATGCTCAATAACAATCATCATGTAAAGAAAAAGGTAAAGCTATCCCTGTAACAGGCCATGAAGCCCCATAAGGTTGAGACATTGAGGGTCCCACATTTCCTAGACAATCGGCTCATAGATGGCGGTGAGGTTGTCAGCCTTATGCGCCGGCCGCCCTTTGCCCCCAGGAAGATTCCTGGTACTCATTTCTGTTAGAGGCTCAGTCGACCCTAGGGCCACAGTGTGGCTGGAAGGGTTAGGTCAAATGGAAAAATCCAATAGCCTCATTGGGAATCGAACTCGCAACCTTCCTGCTTATAGCACAGTGCCTGAACCAACTACACTACAGCTTGACCCTAACAATCATCATGTAATATGAAGAATTCCAAAGCAGAGGGACTTAAACTGTGACATGCAAATCAATGGATTAGCATGACACTCCAGATGCATATTCAACATGTGGTTTGAATCTAGAATGTCACAATGATTATCCTGACTGAGGTTTTTAGCAGTTTTCCTCAGTCCCTCCAGGCACATGCTAACCATCACTTCCTTCTAGATTCCTTCCAATTCACTTATCATTCTACATAGTCCACCTACTGACAGTGTTGTAAAACAATCCTCAGAAATCTGAAGTTCTCAGAGTACTTTATATTGACATTATGGTCTTCTGGGATGTGACATGGTGTGGTCTGGTACAGAGATGCTAGATGGTCTGTTGAGGCTGGACAGTGTTGCCAGTTCACTAACTATACAATCTGGAGCAATATCCAAGAAATATAAGCTGAGGTTATACTGCAAAGACGGTCAGTAAATAACGCTTACTTTAACTGCATAGCCAGTAGCATCGAATGCCTCGTCTCCTATAAAGAAATCCAAGTCTTCAACACCTTTGGTCAACCTGCGTATTGCTTGATCTCCAACTTTTGCAGACTCCTTAATGGCAATAGCTGATGGAATGATAAACTGAGGCTCCTTATTTGCTGCAAATCCCAACTTGGTATATCTGACAATAAAAACATCAAATAATTTTGGCGCTTGCTGTAAGAGAAGTTTGTACACAGAATTGTTCTATTGAATCTGCAACTACATTCACTGACGTTTACATTATTACTGGTATGCTGTCAATCGGCTGCAAGAAAAAGGCAGTCATGATATAATTTGAAATGCCCAACAAAGAATGGGTTGGGAAGTCGTAACGTAAAGTCTTCATTCTTTCTTAACAGTACGCATATGAATCTTTGTCATAAGGTGTAAAACCTAACAACTTTAACGAGCAATTTCAAATTCCAGATTGGGCAGTGCTCAGGCATTTTCATCTCAACTAGCAATTCTCCGGCATTTGTAGCATAAAAGAAGAAATAACCTTACCCAGTTCCCACATCAATTACACACGCAGGTAATCTTCCAGCCATCTTAATGTCACAAAATCCTTTCGGTATGAAATGTAATTCAAAAAGTAAAGTATTTCTTTCACAACAGTACCATGAAAACCACGCCTTTATTCACAAACCTTACAAGAACTAATCATATCCTATGAGCGCCTAGGAGCGTGTCAATAAACAGTATTGCCAACATCTTGCACTTTCCTTTTCTAGTGTAACAGAGTTCCTGACGAAATGTAAAAGTTCCTAAAATGTGTTTAGGGAGAAGCGACAAGTGTTAACTACATATGGTTACAAAAGTCTACACATGCCATTATTTTGAATTATAAGCTATCAAAATAGAGTAAATTGGTAACATCTTATGGTGGACTACTAGCGCTACTATATATCGGCCTTGATATAATAACAAACGAAGAGTCGATGTGGTAGTGTATATACCGAACAACAGATGGCATAAGATGCATTTTTCCTAGCCCGTTATGATGGCAGAAAATCAGTTGTTTCACAGTCATTTGGAACACGGGGAGGACATTTCATCATTAGCGACAGTGACAGTATTAATAGTAGTACTAATATTATATTTAAGCATCCTGTTACACTCACACAATATATATGAGACAAACTCCGTCTTAAGTGCAACAATTTAATTGTAGTTCTTTCTTCTTCCCTTCCTCCACACTACATGTTTCGGCCCTAAATGGCCATCATCAGGTGTGTATTCTTACGTAGCTGCTACACTGCCCGTAGTTTAAAATTTAAAATCACCAGTCTTTACAATTGTATGTATGTATAAAATCTTTGTTAACCTACACGCGTCAATTTGATTTCTAAAATTGGCACTTTTTTAAAACTTAAATTCAAATTAAAATGTCTATAAATTTTCTGTTCTTTTTCTTTTCCCAAATTTTTAAAAATTAATATTTTCTCGGGGTACACGCCCTATGTCTATAGTGCTGCAGCGGCCACTTCTTGTTTTATTGCTGTTCAGGTATTGTCTGTAATATACAAATATTCGTATTACTATCTTATGTTA